TTCTCACCTGACCCCTGTGTGCTATTCCTTCATTTCTTACGTTCAGGTAAGTGGTTCAGAGGTCGTGCCATAGTAGAGCTCCAAGTGAGAGAGGGCTCCCTGCGTTCCCTGGGGACTGCGTGGTCACCTGAGCCGAGTGTATGTAAAGTTTCTTGCATGAGCCCAAGGTGCCCAGGTGAGATCAAGCCAAGGCCTGAGATCTGTGCAGCAAGGAAAAGGTGTGTCTGATTTGGTGAGAGACAGACACATGCAATAGGCTTGCATTTAGAGCCGGGAAGGAACAGGTGTGCTGGGCTCAGTGACTTGTTTTATTTCTGGGGGATTCCGATCCCGTGGGCCTGCGAGTCGAGTAGCAGTGAGCCTGTGAAGAAGGGCCGAGCTCGGGCGGAGGAAAGAGCAGCCCCGTTGGGGAAAATCACACTAGGACTACAGTGCGGCCTCGACTTACGAGTTTAATTCGTTCCGTGACGGAGCTCGTAACTCAAATTACTCATATGTCAAATCAAAAAGTGAACGAGTGAGACGTGATGCTGGGCTGATGTTGTGGCGTTCACTGTGATGTTCGCTGCGCCAACTAGCGGTGGGGTATCTGAAGCTGGCTCGTAACCCGAATTTTAGCTCGCAACTCAAAGCAAAAAATCGGCCGAGAGATGGCTTCGTATCTCGAAAAACTCGTTAGTCGGGACACTCGTAAGCCAAGGCCCCACTGTAGTTTGTGTATTCTTTCCTGTCCATATTTGACTTAAAGCCTTACAGGTCAGCTGATCCACAAGCAAACACTGTTCTCTGACGGTGAGCACTTCATAGAAAAATCAGGGTTGTGTTGTGAGGAAGTTCAGGGCTTGGTTGGAAAGTCTGGAAGGAGGGTTCTCCGAAAGGTCGGGGGCCTCTCGGGGGACCTTGCCGAAGGCAGCAGCCCCTGCCTTGACTTTTCAAAACAAGTCGGATTCCCTGGGGTGTTTTACTGGAATCTCTCTGTTTAGTCTTTAGACCCGAATTTGTAGAAGGTCGTGCTTTCTCTAGGATACTCACCCTGCTGATTGTGTCTAGAGATTAATTTGAGTTCAAGCTGTTGTTACAATGAAAGCCCAAGGAGGCAGGCAGTCGGGGCTGTTTTGGTGCCTCCTGCCAGACAGCCCCTTAGCCTTCTCTTTCACAGAAACATGTGTCAGAGTAATCCATTCATCTGTCGCTCAGGGTCTGCTGGTCAGCCCCGGCCTTGCGTTTGCACATCTTTCAGAGAACGGTTCCCTCTTACAGCCCCTCCTGCTCTCACATGGCTCCCAAACTGTAACTTCTGTCCGTTTCCAGGGCTGTTTCTCATCCTCTTCCCTGCCCCACAGGGCATGGTATGCCTGGGCCTAGGAGGCATAGGACTCCCCTGGAGGTGAAGGCTCCTGCGTTTGTGTGCCTCACACAGGGCAGCTTCTCTGCATCTCAGATCTGCCTTATCAGAACCCTGTACTTCCTGTCCCCTGTATCACTTCCTACTTTCTCAGCTCCTTATTCTCCGATTAGCTACAGCATTGAGAAGTGTCCTGGGACTTGAAACCCTTGTCCAGCGTGTGACCACATGGCTTAGAAGACACATCTGGTGGTTGCCTCTGGGCGGGAAGGCTGCAGGCCCGGGAACTGCCTCTCCACCTTCCTCTCCTTCAGGGAACTCTTTGAGCAACAACTGAAACTGCTGCTGTCCCCTCCTCATCCCCCTTTAACTGGCCTTCTCTGCCTCCCTGGCCTGGTGCAGGAACCTTGGTCCTGCCCTCGCCTCCATGTGCTGGTTCCAGGAGCCAAACTGCAAACCTCACAGCAATGGAGTGAGGGCTGTGGGTGCCACACGCTTCCCATCCTCCACACCAGCTGCAGGACGGTCTCCTTAGCCAGGCTCGGTCCCCTTGGGAGTCCCCATGCCCGGCTGTACCCACCGCCTAGAAAACGACCTGCTGGTCTTCGGGAGTAAGAGGATGGTTTCTGTTCTAGAACAAGAGGAGCAGGAGCCCGCAGTGCCCAGGAGGAAAGAAGAAGAGCGCTGCTGCTGGAGCCGTGGCCATGGTAAGCCGCGGCCGCGCTCACCAGTGTGGCTGCTGGCGGAAGCGTCACAGAAATGAGACCGGCCAGGTCTAAGGGGACAGGAAGTGGCTAGTGGTTACCTGGAGCTGGGATCGGATTGGAGACTGGGAGGTGCCTGCTAAGGGGGCTGCAGGCTGCTTGGTGGGCATGAAGATGCTCAAGTATTTCTAAGGGGAGATGGTTGCACAATCTGAATATACCAACACACGGGACGGTACAGTGGAAAGGGGTGAATTGTGGGTATGTGAATTGTATCAGCGCTGCTACAGAACTGTGTGTGGCTGCTGCTCAGCTAACGGATGTTATGTTCAGATGGAGCATCGGTTTTCCTCTGAACCAAAAAACATACGCTTTATTCAGGAAGCTCCAGAAAATGTTGAGCTCTTGCTTTAAAAATAGAAACAGCTTGGGGTGCGCTCTGGGAGGGACCCTTTGAGGAAAAGTGGGTGAGAGCAGAAGGCACTGCTCCAACCTCGGGGGCAGGTAGGCAGGAACCGCTGGGTTTTAGGAGATCTAGACACTCACACGGGATGCAGTAATCCCACCTTCCGGGTGCTGTCACTAACGGGACTGGAAAATGGTTTTAGTACATTTACACTGTAGAATACTGTGCAGACGTGAAAAAATAAAACACTGCCGCCAAGATAGTATTTTTAAAAAAGAAAAATCATGAGAAGTGCCCTCATTTGGGGGGGGTTTAACTATATAGAAGCACATCTATATGCATAAGAAATGGCTGGAAGGATCCACAAGCTAGAATGCAAACGGGAACTTCATCTCAGTAGTGAAAATTCACGTGCAGACTAGAATGAGGAGGTAGAGCCAGTGCAGTCTTAATAATATGGAGTCAGCCCTAGCCGGTTTGGCTCAGTGGATAGTGTTGGCCTACAGACTGAAGGGTCCCGGGTTTGATTCCAGTCAAGGGCACATGCCCGGGTTGCCGGCTCGATCCCCAGTGGGGGGTGTACAGGAGGCAGCCGATCCATGATTCTCTCTCATCATTGATGTTAGAGGAGGTAGAGCCAGTGCAGTCTTAATAATATCGAGTCAGCCCTCGCCGGTTTGGCTCAGTGGATAGTGTTGGCCTACAGACTGAAGGGTCCCGGGTTTGATTCCAGTCAAGGGCACATGCCCGGGTTGCCGGCTCGATCCCCAGTGGGGGGTGTACAGGAGGCAGCCGATCCATGATTCTCTCTCATCATTGATGTTTCTGTCTCCCTCCCCCTTCCTATCTGACATCAATAAGAGAGGCAACCACAGTTCTCCCGATGGCCCTTCCCTGGCCAGCCTCTAGGTACCAGCAAGTACTCAGGGTAATAAGTGGAAGGACTTGGTGTGCTCTCTGCTGGCATTGAAGTCCTTTGATGAGATGGAACTGCCAAAGGTCTTAGGTGGCTGGAACCTCAGCAAAAGTGTGTTTGATTGGAAGATGGCCCAGCGTTCCCCAAAGCCATGGCGGTTCTGACAGCTTTGGAGGACCTCAGGAACCCCTGAACCTGAACATAGGGCTTCTCTCTTGCAGGCCAGAGTTCTTCGGGAAACCAAGCCGATCCCCAACCTCATCTTCGCCATCGAACAGTATGAGAAATTCCTCATCTTCCTCTCCAAGAGGTCCAAGGTAAACACACTCTCTTCTCTTCTACACGTTCATTTACCTGGAGGGGACCTGCCACTGAGGCAGCCAGGCTGCGTGGGGAGGGCTGTGGCCCTTTCTGTGTCTGACCTGACAGCCTGAATCCAACATCCAAACTGGTGGAGCCCTGCTACTGTGGCTCAGGGGTTGAGCAATGACCTATGAACCAGGAGGTCACGGTTCGATTCCCAGTCAGGGCACATGCCTGGGTTGTGGGCTCAGTCCCCAGTAGGGGGCGTGCAGGAGGCAGCTGGTCAATGAATCTCATCATTGATGTTTCTATTTCTCCCTCTCTGAAATCAATAAAAACCTTATTTTAAAAAAGAAAGAAAAAAAAACTGGTGGGAAAGCAGAGCCAGGGTGTGTGCTCGCTTTAAGTAGGACCTGAGGGGTGTAGGCGAGGCTGTGGGGTGGCCCTGCGTGTGCAGCAGCAGCAGCAGCATGTGCCTCGCTTGCGTCCGTGCAGGTGAACCTGATGCAGCACATAAAGCTCAGCACCTCTCGGGACTTCAAGATCAAGGGGAACATCCTGGACATGCTTCTCCGGGAGGAGGAGGAGGAAGAGGAAGAGGATGACGAGAACAAAGAGGTCGGTGTCTGCTTCCGACTGGGGGCAGGAGTCCTGCCACCCTTCCCAACGGGCTGCTGGGAGCCTGTCTGGGAGCAGCCGCAGGAAAAGGGGGGGGGGGGGGAAGCCAGACAGAGGATGGGCTGAAAGGGCGCCAGGCCAAGACACAACTAAACCCTCAAGAGGAGGAGGTTCAGAAGCTTTGAGCCACACCCAGGGGCCCACACTTAAATACATTTGGGGCACACATTTCCAGAAGGGGTGGTGACGAAACGAGGTCTCTCTGTGGGTGAAGCATTGGAGCTGACCGCCTGGCCCCAGCGTTCTGGCTCAGGACCTGCTGTGCTGCCTCCTCCCTCCTCCCTCCTCCCTCCTCCCTGGGCCTGTTCCGCTCCTTTGGTTTCAGTTGATAGCACACCCTGGGCCTGCAGCACCTTTGAAGCAGGGCCGAGTTGGATAAACGCTCTAATTTCTGGCTTCTCAAAACTTCTGCCCCACACACGGTCCCACTCCAGGCCATGGTGTCCCTGCCCCGTCCACTCCCTTGACCTGCTTGGCGCTGGAGGTGAGCATTTTGGGGCTCCTCCTCTGCCACATCGTCCCGTGCATCTCCCTGGTTAACAAAGGTCCAGAGACACAGTGTCCACTGCCTGCCTCTGCCCGGAGGCCTCCCTCCCCCTGTGGCGCAGCTAGTGGGGACGGGAGAAAGCACAGCTACCCAGGCTCCGATGAGAAGATAAAGGATCTGTTTATTTCCGGGCCTCTGAGCAGGGTGGTCCCCTTCTCCTTCTAGGACACCACGTCAGAGCACGGAGAACAGAACAAAGAACCCGCCAAGAAGAAAAGGAGAAAAGAAACGAAATGCCTGAGTTAATGTGCACTTTGGGGCTTCTGCTTCCTGTTTACCCGACCAGCAGCACGGCCCCTGGTCCGACAGCCTGCACCGACGTCGGCCTCTTGTTTCTGAACCCGTTGAACTCAGCTGCACCTTCTGTGACAGGCGGGCCTCCCTGGCAACGCGCAGCCGAAAGCCTGAGTGTGGGCGCCGCGCACCCGGTGAGCTCCACGGGAGCAATGCCCGCCTCGGCGGCTACGGGCCCGGCCGGCCGCGCCTCTCCAGGGAGCCTTTGGTGAGTTCCAGGACCTGGTAGATATCCAGCGCTTCGCCTGGAAGAGAGCAGGTTGCTAATGACACTGGGCATGGGCACGGGGCTCAGGGTGAGGGCCCTGTGCTTCTGTATAAAACGTTTGTCTTAGATACACTTTCTATAGAAAGGAGGCTTTCTGGTTGTTTGGCGTTCAGGGCACAGCTTTTTTTCACTTAAGAATGCACTTTGACTTTGCACAATAAACCTTTAAACGTGGCCGGTGTGGTTGGAGAGGGAGGTGCAGATGGTAGAACCAGAGCTGTCAAGGTGCCGTCACTCCCGTGATCACGCCCTGGAGGCGCAGCCCCTCGGGGTTCACGTCCCGCTCCCCAGGGGCCCAGGGCCCGTTATACACACGTAGCCGACCTGCTTGCTAAGAGGGGACTCGCCCTCTGGTGCCCGAGCTTCCTGTGGCGCAGAGCGCTGCCCAGGGCCCCTCACCTCCCACCCGTAACGAGAGGCACAAAGGCGTGTGCTCACCCTGGGGAACCCCGTATCTCCTTTCCATCCCCGTCGGGTTGGAGGGGGTTTTACAGTCCATGGTCACTTCCTTCCTGAGACACCGGTCAATGTCGACGGCACTGAAAAAGGCAACTGACTGGGGCAGGTCATTGAGGCCCAGCTTGTAGGCGAACATGCACCTGAAAGAGACCAGTCCCCTCAGCTGCTCCTGCCTGCATCCCGGGAGCAGGGCACTCGACCGGGAACCCCGGATGCCAGTGCCCCCAACCTTCCCACGCCCCACAGGGAGCTCCTGAGAGGCAGGGATGGCACACGTCACTGATATAAAAATTTCCCTCATCACTTGAGTATACAAGGACCTTGTTAGCTCGTTACGCAAAGCCCCCTGGGACACAGTGCAGAGGGCACTGGAGACACGCCACGCACTGTAAACACTCGTTGTTTACCGTTAATCAGGACAGAGCGAGGCTCCCACTGGTTCTAGTGGCGGATCAACATGGAACTGTGCTATCATTTAATTCAACCATATAAGTGAAATTCTACCATGAGAAAATGCAACCCAATATATAAGGTATAAATTATTTTAAAATCACATGTGAATTTCCCCATTAGCCATGTATTACTGTTAGGAATCAGAATAACCAGCTTCTGGCACTGAAGGAAACATTCACAGGTAAAGGTGTGTTCGTAGGGGGCGCTATTTGAGAGCTACTATTTGGGAAAATGCCCCTGACCCGCCTGCTCACCAGGTCAGTGATCTAATCTATGACACTTTCAGGCCAAGAAATCTTTAAAAGTTGAAGGCCAGCCTTAAGACTTTTACCATATTTTAAAAAACTAGAGAGCAAAGCTAAAATATCCACTTCCGGGGAGATGGAAACTCAGATCCCACTCATCCTGGCCCAAGGCCCTGCCCACCTGGTCAGCAGGTTGGTGATCTGCAGGGCCAGGGCCGCACGGTAGCGGTCCTCCTCGCGCACCAGGTAGCGGACCTCGTCGTGGATGCTGATGCAGAAGCGCCCGTCGATGGCGAACTCCTCGAACAGCCACTTCATGGCCACGAGCATGAGGTGCAGGTAGTCCACGGCGGAGCTCTGCACCACCCAGTTCACCCGGCTGGTCATGAACTGGGGGGAGGGGCGCCGGTGAGGGATCCTGCCCACATCTGTGCCTCCCTCCCTCCTGTGACCTCCCGTGTCCACGCAGTACCTCCCCCTGAGCCACCGAGGGCTCCAGGGCCCGGCTGATGCGGCAGCCCAGCACCGGGGTGCGTGGCTCGTCGGCCGTGGCGATGCTCTCCAGCTTGTTGAACATCTCTGACTCCGTGCCCCCCGTCCACATACGTTCCGCAACCACATTCCACTTCTTCCCGCGGGACCTGGGGACCAGAACAGACGGAACAAGCATTGTCTTTCCGTTATCAGCTCATCCCAGCTCCCAGGGGCCGCCTGGACCCTCCATCCCTCCCTCCACACGCAGAGGGTTCTCACTTCCTCGAAGCTTCCCTCTGGACCTTGCGCAGATCCTGCAGGGAAACGCAGCCGTCCTCGGTCCTCTCCACGGGGATGTGCAGCTGCCTCACCAGCCACTCGCCCTCATCGGACAGCCGATACCTGGGGGCAGGTCACCATCATCATGCCCGTGGGAGTGTCTGCTCCGTGCCAAGCCCCGGGCCCCTGCCTGTCCCCCACAGGTTTGCTTCAGAGGCAGAATTGGGCACGGAGAGGCTGGCAGAGCCCCGACAGGAATCCACGCTTTGGGTTATGCCAGGGTAGCTGCCTGTCCCAAAGCCTTAGACGCAACTGCCAAAGGACTGGCAGATTTTAAAAAATATATATATTTTTATTGATTTCAGAGAGGAAGGGCAAGGGGAAGAGAATCATTGGTCGGCTGCCTCCTGCATGCCCCCTACTGGGGATGGAGCCTGCAACCTGGGAATGTGCCCTTGACCGGAATCGAACCCGGGAACCTTCAGTCTGCAGGCTGACGCTCTATCCACTGAGCCAAACCGGCTAGGGCAGGGCTGGCAAATGTAATTAACCTTCTAAGGCAGTGGTTCTCAATACAGTTCCTCATGTTGTGGCGACCCCCAACCATAAAATTTTCATTGCTACTTCATAACTAATTTTGCTACCGTTATGAATCTTAATGTAAATATCTGATATGCAGGATGTATTTAGACGACCCTTGTGAAAGGGTCGTTCGACCCCCAAAGGGGTCGTGACCCACAGGTTGAGAACCGCTGCTCTAAGGAAATCTGTTCAAGGCTGACTTGAATGTCACAACCCAGGGACGAGCCACCCTGCAGCTCAGTCACGGGTGTGAAGGGAGGGAGGGCAGACGGGGGCAGTGGGGGGTAGTAGAGCAGGCCCGAGGCCCGGGAAACGACACGGGACCCTCACCTGCGCAGGCCCTTGGTGACGGCATACATCTGCTGGGCCTTCTCGGCTGCCTCCTGGGAGGTGAGGCGGTGGTTGAACTGCATGAGCAGGCGCTCGGCAAAGGGCTGCCCAGCCCCGTAGATGCGGCCGTAGTTGAAGACCTTGGCGTGCTCGCGGCTGATGCCCACGGTGGCGGCCGTCTTGCTGTGCAGGTCGGTGCCCCTGCTCTTGCGGCCCTGCAGGGTCATCCAGCCGAAGGCCGTGCAGCCTGGGAACAGGGCGGAGGGAGAGGG